CTAACTTGCTACTTACAATCGGCGATGAGGGTTTCCACTGAACCGCAGGATGAGTTCCATTAACGTAAACTGAGGATTGATTGCAAGGATCCTCATTGGATGGCAGAAAGATGCTTACCGGGGTCGTACACTTGAGCTAAAAGTATATAAATTGAGAATTTATAGTCAACGTGTGGGACAAAGTATGGATCCTTGTTGACCACATCAGCATCAGATAGACGAATTGAAACGGTATGGCATGGCCAGTGTCAATTTCTCTTTATTGTTCCTACTAAACAGCATTCTTTCCAAGTATGTCCCTCTGTACTCACATTTATTACAATTGGTAGTGGAATTGAAATTATTTAAGAATAGCCCTCAGCTTTGTTACATATTAAGCTGTAGACCCCATCCTCCTTAAAATAGTACTAAAGCAGCTCATGCAAGAAAAGAGGGTTTAGTTGGAGTCTCAATGGCCTCATTAAAACTGATATAATTGGGCCCACTAATTGGGGCTAGCGAGGCCCAAAAGGCTCAATAATTGGATCAATAACCTGAAGCTTTTCCATCTTTTCCTTTACTCCAATCACATTTGGATTATTTGGGCAAACACTCTCACCTACCCCACGTTGGGGGGTGAGCCTGGGCCTGGGCCTGGGCCTGACTTCACACGGGCCATAACCATGTGCTTATGTAGGTTAGATTCCTACTAGATGTACTTGAAACATTCTGTAATCGTTGCGGAACGGAGCTGGTCACCAAAAGATAATAAATCTAAATCCAATTTAACAAGCATTGGAAAACTGCATTGCAAGTACAGGTATAATTGATCACAGAAACTTGTCATGTAGGCCCATTAAAAGCCCAAACATCACTGCCGGTGTTGGTGGTGTCAATGGCCCAAACGCAAATGTCACAGGTCAAGTATTGGACTCACTTCTATTCTCGCCCTCACAGGCACCAAGCCCAGCCTTGGTCGCCCTCACAGGCCCCAAGCAGCCTTCTTCGAGATGACATGATAATGTTGATGGTCAATGGAGGAACTCTGTTGGAGGAGAAAAACCTGTACACCTCTACTCACGTGCGTCCTTCTCAGTCCGGGGAGAGCCCGCCCGACTTCCCCACTCTTAGCCGCCCAGAAAACCCATCACGCCCCCGTCCATCCACCCCATAATAGGAGAACATCTGTCAAGAGGTTTTCCACTTACATCGGTCGCTTGATTTCCCGATCTGTCGGTCCGCCCGATCCACGTCTCCTCAGCCCCCGTGACACCAAAGCTGGTCCATCAGTCCTCAACCCTGGGTTGACTTCGTTTTTATTAGGGATCTGAATCATGCCCACTAAAACTGGTCCATAAGTCCAAATCACGTTTTCTCTCACTACATGGGTGCCTCATTATCTATCACTCATCTCTCTCAATCTCTCTCCCTCTTCAACTTAGGAACAACATCCGCCATCACCCAGTGAGGAGACGGACAAGACCCACATTGGAACCAGTCCCTTTAATAGCCGAATTAAATAATTGAAATACATTTCAGGAAGCATGGAGGGTTCTTCTATGAATCCTCAAACGGACAAAGTTCTGGCCATGTTCACGGATAGTGGGTCCAAAGGACAACTGGTTTGATTCTCGAACCCAGCCCTGAAATCCGCCATTCTTGCACAGATGCAACCAGTGCGATCCCATCCAAGTTGAGGTCGAGGCCAAAAAGATGAGAAACCGTCAAAATATTACGGTACTTCTCCATGTTTCAATGAATTTTGTGCAAAAACACCATTTCTTAGCGTTGAAGGATCATATTTGTCAAGCCAAGTATTTGGAAAGGAGACCGGAGGGAGGAAGAATCACCCAAAGGTAGCAATTACTGCACCATAAGGAGCTGAAATCCTCTCTGACGAACCCGGAATCGACCTTGTCTCTGAAAGTAAGTGGCGCCTGCTCTGAGAAAGCCAAGAACAGACCTCCATCACCTGCTTCCCAAAAGAGTGGGGACCTTTCAGCTCCGAGAAAGCACTTTACCAGAGACCTATAGGAGGATGGCGGTGGTGATATAAACTGACTGGCACATTAGCCCGCTATAAGATTTAATAAGACCAGTTTAAATGCTTAAACAATATGTCACTGGGCAAAAAGGAATGAGTAAAATGACTAAACCAATGGGTAAGGAAACAGTATCCTGAAATTTTTACAGGGCGGGGTTAAAGCACGCTAAAGCTGCCCCAAGAGACATATATAGGAATTATAGCCTTCCTTGAACACCATGGGTATGTATCTGATATTTTCGATCGTAAAAACAGAAAAAATTGATTTAAGAAGTCTCGATCCTGTTTGAGCTTGTCAAGAACAATGCTTACTAGGAACCCTTGAAATACTCCGTATACAGTGATCACAGCACAGTTTTATTATTGATTGTCACACTCGATTTTCAACTTTCATTGTATGGTAAAAGAAAATATTCTAGGCACATCAAGAGGAAAAAAGTAATGAGACCACGACAATTTTAACAATCTTCAGCAAAATGCAGTCTATAATTTCTCAGGATTAACCAAAAAAATAACGGATTTAAATGATCTCAATTAGCATACCTCACACAAATATCACCCCTTTCTGTATGTGACAAAGAGATTCAACAAACTAGGAATAACAGGTTTACGCTAAACACTAGCAGGAAAGCCACTCTGAAGTTGCAGCGGGTAACTGGGGATCCAGTCCACCTCCTTTTCAAATTACATCGCTATTCTATGTTGGGGCTGCTACCTCTTCTTCTCCCTCGATTCCAGCATCGGGTATTAATATGTATTCCTGGGCGTGTACACGCATGTGTGCATGCATATATAATTTATAATAAATAAATTAAAAAGCGCGCTTGCGCGCGTATGAAAAAATATATAAATATATTTTTATAGCGTGCGCGCCCGCACGCCTTTAAGTAGCTCCCGTACATGACGTGCGTGCCCGCCCGCCTATGTATGCCCATGTGCGCATGTGTCATGCGCACCAGTACCCTGTGGTTGTCGAACCCCAAGTAAAATTGGGGTATCTCCAGAGGTCACACAACCTCGAAGTTATAAACAAAAGTGAGTTGTAACGAGCTTTTGTTGAATTAAACGGAGAATCTATCATCATATTCCCAAAACTCTCGTTATAGCCCGAATTTCGCTATGGGTATGGGCGCGGCCTACTATACGTATACGTCATTAGTTACCAGTGAAAGACAGAAAAAAAAAAAACGACTTCAGTGAACTATTGATGAACAGTGTAATTGATCAGACAAGTACCAAGTGCGCTTCTTTCATTTCCGAATTTGCTTGCGAAAAGTCCTTGCATTAGTATGAGTTCGTTGACCGCGTAAGGGCGATCCATCTTGATGACGAATTCCACGATAACGAGAAATAGAAATTAATCGTTCGATGTCTTCTCGTTTTCCCCTCTTCAATTCCCAATGAACAAGATGATCTTGAGCTATTATTTGTTCAATTTGGTCGATCTGATACTTTGCTAACTCATTCATCTTTATGTTCCCACTGATACCTAATCGGTAACGAACCTGAATGGCTTTTTTGGGTCCAATTCCTTCAATTTTAGTTGACGCAATTCTTACTTGTTCATCGGGAACTGATTTAGCTCCTGAGAGATATGACATTCTTTATCCTTCCTTTTCCTGGTCTTCTCGGCTGGAATCAACAGTGTCCCTCTAACTCGAGATCACCGGTGCACGTACGCAGAGAAAGCAGAAATGACCCTGAGGAGAGTGACGCAAGCGACCACAGGTATCATTACACGGCAGGAAGTACTTGTGTACAAAGTGGTAGCAGTCCACAAACGGGTGCGAGATCGCATCTGCAGAGCCATCATCAGTAATACGTTGTTATCATTTGATAACTTCAAAGAAACGAAACAAAATCCCAACTTAGAACCCTTGTAAAATGGTAGGTACCAACCAGGATGACGATCCAGAAGTGGAATGAATGAATATCGATGGGCTGATCGCAGATAGAAGAAATCGAACGATCTAGTCGGCCTTTTCCATCTCTTCTAGAAGCAGCTTCTCCGGCTCCTCTCATTTCCATGAGAAAATTGGGGGATTCCAAATAAGAACAGCAACAAAAATCCAAATGGAGAAAAAATACTGAAGAGAATGGAGAAAAATTCCTCCAAATGACGTCAATCGGTCACTGGACTATGAAACTTTGATCGCCTCCTTGAAATCTACCATGGAATTTCTCATCCATGCTCATTTCAATCATGCGCCGCAGGCGGCAGCAGTGGATTTCATCCACGATTCATGGTGGCGATTTCAGATTCGAGACATGTATCAAAGGAATACGTCCATCAAGGCGAGGGAACTTACAACCAATGAAGGAGGTTTCCTCCCCACACGGCGGCCGGAGAGATTCTCTGGCTCTTTCCACTCCAACTTTCCCGCTCCGAACTCCGGTTGATGATGAGCGGGAAAAGAGGACGGTGAAGGGAGAAGTATTTGGCAAAATAGGCCGGTCCAGCTTCATTAAATAGCAAGTACCGCTCAAATACTTGTTCCGGCACATTCGCGAGCCAGGTTACGTGTGTGAAAATTTTCATGGTTTCTTACTCACTATGTATACTTATATAGTGTAACACTTAAGAAATTAATTGCCCATAGCTCTCTGGGCCAGAAAGGACCAGAAGCCTGTTCATTTCCCCTGATATTATATCTAGATTAGTCAAATTGTCAGGAACCTGGTAGTGATTGTCCCTTCTTTCTTACAAGAGATCGTACATAGTCGGTAAAATGCCATCGTTTTGTGGCAGATTCAAGAAAGAGCCATATTTTCTCCTGGCGAACACAAACATAATCATACCCGACAAAACATTTTCTCTGATCCTCAACTTCAAAGAGTGGTTCTTCACCGTTCGAGAGGATGAGAGTACACAAGTCACCTTCTACGCACCCAAGTACTCACTTATTAGTTGGCCCAGCTCGCTAGGAGTAGACATGCGATGTGATGTACCTAATTATTGCTTTCAAAGTGCTGGAGTTTATGGCTTGCTAAACGTCACGCCTGCAGGAATGGAGGACGTGTTCTGAAGTGGTGACACGGTTGCCCCAGCAGTACAGGGCCCGGTGCCTCTTTCCCAGATTTGCTGCATTTGGGCGTTGTAGATGACAACATTGCCGTCATTTTTTAGGAGGACGACGACGCCACTGTTGGTGTTGGTCTCCCACACTTTGTCGGTACCACTTCGTATAACGAAGTTCCCATTCATCTGGAGTATGGCGCGGCAGTTCGTTCCCTCGCCAGCTGTACGGGAACACCACTTGACAACGCCTCCTTCCCGCAGCACTAGGTTGCAGTTTGTCTGCATACATAAAGTGAAATCGCCCTTTACCAAGCATTCGGCGGCGACGAGTTTCTCTCCACGATAAAGATCGCTCCTGGCCAAGCATGGGGACACGAGAAGACAGGCGAGGATCAGTAGGAGGAGGGAAACGAGATTTTTCGCCACCATCTTCGCTGCACACAAGTCCCAAAAAGCAATGCTGCCCTAGTAATTGACTTAAACTGGGTGCAACATGATCATGGATAGGCCTTCTATTTATACCAAAGACCAGGTGTCTTCTGACACGAAACTTGCAAGTGGCGTATTGTCGTTCACGGGTAGTCGTCATGCAAGTGAGAAGATAAGGATAAGTGGGTGGCAAAAAGATGAAATAGTGTCCACATTTATTTGGCGATTCAATGAAGAAAAAGCATTCAATACTAGTTAATGTGTACATGACGAATATTCTCACCCTTTATTGTCACCTGGGCCACACACACTTGGATATCTCATCTACGAGAAACCCAGATATCAAGCTGAAGACTAGAATATCATCGATGGAATTGGCAGCCGTAAATCCCCTTGCAAACAATAATTTCATCGAGAAAAGGTTTTGACCATGCTAATGTCTCACGTTTTCGTTCTAGGATTTACTGCTCATTACGTTGGAGAATATCAATGTCATTAAATATCAATAGTAAAACTGAATAAAGTTATAATACATACATGGCAGTCGTTGGTAAAGGAGGAGTTGTAATAGCTTAAGCTAGTTTATCCCCCATAGCCATACATACATGGCAGAGTGGTCATTACCTATCCTTTATATGGCCATATGAATAAAGCTAGCATGGCATCAAGTGGATGTATTAGAGTTCTGGGTAGACTGTGGAGAGAACCAGCTGGATTTTTGTTGGTACTATTTCGAAGTCGTTGCCTCCAAGCATGAAATCATTCTTTGGAATAACCTAAATTATGGAATCTATAGATATCGAATACATGGATTTGTGTATTCATGGACTCCTAGACATACAGTAAACCTAAAAGACCGATTCCCTTTTTAAGTCCACTCAGGATCATGGACTTGTAGGCATACAGTAAAGCAGGTTGGAAGAAGTGGATGCTTACACTACTTGCCACTCAGAATATCGTAGTTGAAATTTTGCATCAAGTATACTAAGAAACAGTAAACAGAAGCCGAAGTGGCGCACTGTTATACAGTTAGATATGGAAGGTCTAAATGCAAGCTTGTAAGTTTTCGTACGTCTTGTGCCAAATAATGCTCTAAAGAAAGCTTTCTAAATTTATCTGAAATGAGAAAATGAATACTTGAAGCATTTAAAAAAAATCAGCCTTTCCATTTTGACTAATGATAATGATACTAGTAATCAAATAAATTAACATTAGAATATAAAATATAACCCACACTATAGAAAAAGTACAAACAAGACTCAAATAAACAAATGCTGAAGTTAAATTTTATAGACTTGGGCTCTCCTATCATTACTTGTGTCTAAACTATAGGAATAAAAGCAAGATCATACAAAGTGAAAGTTTTTATCATATTTTAAAAGTAGTTCCTATTATATATTTTAATGAATGATACATCTGTATGCTAAGGGTTCTTGAATTCATTCTTAGTCATTTGAAAGAAAAGCATCAATATTTATTTTAAAGGTCTTCTATAAAAGTAGCTCAAACATCATGTTCACCTCTCATGCCATTCAAATATTTAAGTTATGAGAATTGATACTCTAGATTGAATGTTTTACTATAGTCATTTAATCATTAAATTTTATTCACGACCATTTAATACTTCATGGCTTGTGAAAATCTTTATCCCTTGGTTTGATGGCATGTGAGGGCTGTCAAAATTAGAGATCTGATGAATACTTTGCCTTCCAGTCTTTCTTGGGTCACAGTAATTCATTTTCCTGGAAGAGAACTAACTTTTCATATGCTTTAACTTAATATGAGCGAAAAAATTTAATGCAAAATAATGCCCCCCGTATCTACAAGGGTTTCTTGTATTTCGAGCAAAAAGAAAAGCCATAAAGAGAGAAAAATTGTTATTATTCGTTGTCTTCCCAAAGTTATAATAGTAAGGCTTTCAAATAGGTTAGAATTAGGTTAGTGAAAAAAATAAAAAGTGAAGTTTTAATATCCTATGAATCAACATGTGGTCCATGTGGTCTTGGGTTTTTCTTGATTCTTTTTATGGTGTGCAACATCACTCATTTAGTGTCAAAATGTTAATTCTGCGTAACAGAAAAAGAACTAGATCTGGTCTATGTTTTACTAGGGAAAATAAACACCATATTCATTTAGATACTGTTATATTTTAAGCTATATTTATCAAAAAGAAGGTTTAATTGATCATTGTCCTAATTAGACTTTGGTGAAGTATACCTATGATCTTGATCTTCTTTGCTCAATCCTAACCCTTACATCTTCTAAGTTCTAAGTCTAGAATAAAAGTGAAGTTTTAGCGGATCTGCCTCCTACGTTTATTCAATTTCTAAGAACATTTTATTTGTTTTTTCCTATAAAGCATCTATATATCACTTTTTGATCAGGAGCTCAGGGATTATATAATTATTTTTTCAAGTTTTCTTCTAGATTCATGACTTTAAGTGACCCTCCACTCATTGTAGAGATCAACTCACTTGACTGATTGTATATTACATTGAATAAAATGTATTTTTCCACAAAAATACTAAATAACTTCAGCTTTAATTATTTCTAAATGATGACATTGGCATGTAGTATCATTCAGAAACTTGATGAACATGATGAAAAATTGAACTTGAATTTAGTTTTCTCTTCATATGAGATACTATGTTAATTTTACCTCATAAATTTTCATATTGAAATATTCCTTTCAATTAGTCTTCAACTAGAAGTGTAGAGGTTGATGTTGGGTGGTAGGTACCTCAGAAACAAAGTTAGACTCTAGTGGCATATGTGGATAAAGGGTCAAGCTCAATCTCTTGTCAATTCATAGGCAGACTTTGTGTGGAAACTTAGAAAGTAGTTCAAGCCTACGAACATTATTTGGATGGCAAAAAGAGTCCTCATGAAACTGAAGCATATAGGATTAATGACCACGTAGAGTTCAAAACCAATACAATACGACAATTTAGAGTTTAGACATCCTTTATGAGAAAGCAATGTGTTATTGTTAAGGATCAATGCAACCAAACTTGATAAGCCCAAAAATAGCATATTACCTGCCATTTATAAAGACATTATATGCAATTAAGTACTCTTATTTGATTTTACAATATTAAATAAAAAAGAGACTCACACATTGGGGCACAAGAAATCTATTAGTATTTTGAATTCTAAGAATGAGATAAAGATAGAGAGAGATCTATGAAGCTTCTCATAGCCATTATTATGAGGAAAAGCATACCAAGGTAAAATGAAGATTTCATAATATGTAAAATATTAGAGACTTTGCATGATCAGCCATTGCATTATAAATCATTAATCAATGCTGCCCAAAATTTATTAGTATTTTTAAAACTTAAATCTTTTAGTGGACTATTGATGCAAATATGGAGATAGATAGCTAAAGAGAGAGAGAGAGAGAGAGAGAGAGAGAGAGCTAGAAACAAAGGTAGAGATGATTCATGAAAAGAGGAAGAGACGTGAAAGGAAGAAAAGCTTACGTCATTTTACATTATTCCAATTTTCTAACTTACATCGCTTCATTTTGATCCATGAAGAAAGGAAGAAAAGCTTGTTATATTTTATTTGAATTTTTCCTGTGCTTTTCTTGGCATTGTATGGTTCAAATTCCAATTAGGTCCTCAATTTATTATTACAATTGGGGACAATCTGGGAAATTGGGAAGCCCTCCTTTTTGTGTGGGTGGGAGCCTATAAATACAGCCTAGGAGATGCCAAGTGAGAAAGAGAGAAAGAGAGAGAGTAGAGAGGGTAGAGAGAGAATGGAGGGGATGCAGTTTTTGGCTTTGGTGAGTTATGCCAAAGTGAGTCGCTAGAGATAGTAAGCAGTGCTGGAGAGGAGGAGATGGCTATTGTGTGCAGGCACTCAAGTAGCAGGAGTGGTGACGCTAATGTAGAGGAATGGTGGTAGCATCGCAAGAAGGAGGAGCTCAAGTGTTGGCCATTGCTTGATCCAATATTAGAGGAGCTAGACAAAGCCGTTGTCACAGAGGTGCATCTAGTTGTTATTGTTGTGAAGAAAAAAAAGTTTCAAAATTTGTAGGAGAAAATATGTAAGCACATAATCTTAATAATTGTAGAAACTCAATTTCTAAATATCAATGAAAACAAATAGAAGAGATATCACCAAACTATTAAAAGTACTGATAAGAATAAAACTTCCACCAAGCACCTCTAAATCACATCTCAATGCCTTCGTGATGTCTCACACACTAGAGTCAACAGTGGACTCTTCTCTCCTTCTATAAGGACTTCGCCTACAATAGAAGAAAGAGAAGATATATAAAAAAAGAATCAAGTTGATGGAGAGAGAATAGACTTAAGAGAGAAATAGTCATCTATTTACTGAAAAAGGAGATTACATGTTCTATTTATAGAAAATAAGAAAAGATAATCATTTCCTAAATAGAAGTATCTCGATCTACATGCAACTACATCTCAATCTACATGTAATTGTACCTCAATCGACATGTAGTCGTGCCCACACATCTTAGATGTGATGGCTACAATCACCCTCATTCTCTCTCTCTCTACACAACCTCTAGAGTGGGTCATAAGAGTTGACGTGACCACCGTGTCACCACCCTCTTACTCCTTGTGCACCTCTCGAGCAAGTTAGATGGGAGAGCTTTATCTCACATCTCTCGAATGGGTCAGCTGTGATGGATTGACACTGCCAACAAACTTCATCTTAGTAGCCAACAAACTACACCTACAGTCGATGTCTATCAATGTTACAAGTCTCCACCTTCTATAAGGTACCTATAATATGAATCAAATTCAAATAATATTTGAACTTCTCTAATGTGATGACCTTTGTCAACATATCCATAACATTCCCTTCCATGTGAATCTTCTCTAAAGAGATATCTCCAAAATTTACCAACTCATGAATTTTGTGATATTACACATCAATATATTTTGATCATGCATAATAGACCTGATTCTTTGCTAAGTAAATAACACTCCAACTGTTACAATGTAGAGGAATTCTACCCTATTAAATCTCAAGTTCACTCAATAATCTCTTTATCATAAGGCCTCCTTGGCCGCTTTAGTAGCTACCATGTACTCCACCTCAGTTTTAAATAGTACAATAGTAGTCTGAAGTATAAACTTCTAATTGAGTTGTATCAACAAAGCTAATAGTAGAAAGATAATTTTATTAGTCAAAATAGATTTCAAAATCTAAGGAACCTTTTAGATATTAGAAATTCACTACACTATACTCTACTATTTTTTTCTAGATTCCTCATAAACTTACAAGCCCAACTACATGAGCAATATCTAATTTAGTACATACCATAGCATACATGAGAGAACCGACTACACTAACATAAAGAATTTGCTTCATCTCAAGATATCTTCCTTAAATGTTAGAGTAGTAGATAATCTGAAATAACTAGTTAGAGGAGTGGTCACTATTTTAGCATTACGCATACCAAATAGATCTATCACCTTTAAAAGATGGCTCCTCTAAGTCAACCATAGTTGACTTAACTTCCAGTCTCTATGGATCTTCATACAAAGAATCTTCTTTGTCACATCAAGATTCTTCATGTCAAATTTCTTATTCAATTGTGTTTTCAATCTAATAATCTCTTGTGAATTCTATGGATTAATGAGCATATCATTAATATAAAATATCAAATAATTAGAGAATCATCATCACAAGTTCTCATAAAATACAACAGTCAAAATCGCACCTCGTATAACTAATCTTCAACATATAAGAGTTAAACTTTTTATACTATTACTTTGGTGTCTACTTCAACCATAAAAAGAATTATTTAGTTGACAAATAAGATGTTCTAACCCTTACACAATAAAGCCCTCAAGTTGTTGTATGTAAATAGTCTCTTCCAAATCTTCATGAAAAAATAGTGTCTTCACATCCAACTACTCAGATTTCATATCTTCATATGTGACAATGGTTAACACTAAGCAGATAGACATGTGCTTCACAATGGGCAAAAAGATATCTATATAATCAATTCCTTACTTCTATGTAAAACTTTATAATAAGCTTTACTTTATACTGAGGCTAATCACTATTAATCATTAGTGACTTCTTCTTGTATACCTATTTGCACTTAATAGCTCACTTTCTTGTAGGAAGATTCATTAATTCTCAAGTATGGTTCTTATCTAAAGATGTTTACTTCTCAAATATCATCTGCATCCACTTTTACTTTTCAAGACAATTAATTACCTCCTAAAAAGTTGTGGGTTCATTATCTCCTACAAATAATACAAAGTCAATATAATCATTAAGATGAGTAGGAGGTTTTACTTCACGCCTACTCTATCTAGTAGTAATATAATTAGGAACATCTAATGATTTTGCTACTCGATCTTCATTCACAACAAAATTAGAAGGACTTTGCATCTCTAGCCTTGCTCTATTTACAACTCAAGTATTATTCGATTTCTAAATCTTCTACTCTATAAAAAAAGACTTCAACATGTGATCTTCATCAAAAATCACATCCCAACTAAAAATAACTTTCTTCACCTTTAAATCTCAAAGTCAATTTTCCTTCACGCTAGTACTATAGCCCAAGAAGATGCATTTATTCAACTTTGGATCGAACTTCGATCTTTCATCAATAGGTGTAAGGATATATTATAGACATCTAAATATATACAAATTTGAATAGTCAACAAATTGTTTAGTCCATATCTCTTCAACAACTTTCCATCAAGACCAGAATTTGGTGATCTATTCACTGAATAAACTACCATACTCACAACACCCGCCCAAAATTTTTTAGGCAAGTAACTATTTAATTGTAAATATTGTATTATCTCAATAATTGTGTGATTCATCCACTTAGCAACACCATTCTACTGTGGAGTATTCTTCACCATATAATGACGTTGAATACCATGCTCATCACAAAATTGATCAAATTCAGAATTATTAAATTTTGTACCATTGTTAGTTTGCAAGACATTGATCTTCCTCTCCATTTGATTCTTCACCTTTGCACACTAAGTCTTAAACTTTGTAAATACTTTAGACTTTACTTCAAGAAGAATATTCAAACTTTCTTGAAATAATTATTAATAAAAGTTAGAAAATATCAAGCATCACCCATCGATGTCACATCAACCAAACCATATACATATGAATGAACATAATCCAACACACCACATGTATCATATTTTGTTATCTTAAATGTTACCCTACACTATTTTTCTATGATACAATACTAATAAAAATTCAATTTGCAAGTTCTCACACCAAATAGTAGTCCTCGCACATGTAGCTTTGACATACTTCTCTCACTTATATGACCCAATCACAAGTGTCATAAAAGTGTGTAATCAATCATGGAATCATCTGATGTCACAACACAAGTTTCACCTACAACACTTGTGACAAGTATGATTTTTCAACTAATTTATTTGTAACTTAGTCTGACTCTTCTTCTCTCCTAAAGATCTTTTTTCCTTCTACCATCCACGTTCTCTTTCACCCTTCACATATAAACCTTCACCACGAGCTTCACCAACATCCTTCTTATGAAGATAATACTTCATCAATGAGTCAATAACATCTTCAAGAACGAGTGTTATATTACCATACAACAAAGTCGTAACAAAATGATCATATGAATCAAGAAAAGAAACAAGTAAAACAATAACTTTGTTCTCATTAGAAAAATCTACTTCCATGTGAAGTAAGTCATTCAATAATTGATTAAAATAATCAATATGAGATGCCAAATCATCTCCATCTGACATGCATAATCCAAATAATTTTCTTCTCAATGTCAATTTGTTCAGCATCGACTTTGGTGCACATCATTTCTCTAACTTCTAGAGTTTCTTTAGATTGTATTCATTCATGACTTGTTGAAAAGCTTAATCAGACAAACATGTACGAATAAAACTCTTAACCTTTTTTTCCATTATCTCTCAATCATTAGCATTGATCTTGTTTGACTTTAGACCATCCAAAGTACTATACAAGTCAGTCTACAGTAATGTATCATACACATAATGCTTTCAGATATTAAAGTTAAAAGACTTATCTAACTTTTTGGTATTAGTATGCACCTTAGAAGCCATAGTAAATTTAGAAATAATTAAACCAATATTTTGTTACCACTTGTAGAAGAAAATATCTAAGCACACAATTTTAATAACAGTAGAAACTCAATTTCTAGGTATTAATGAGAACAAATAGAAGAGACATTACTAAGCTATTAGAAATCTTGATGAGAACAAGACTTCTAACAAGCACCTCTAATTCATGTCTTGATGCCCTCTAGATAACTCACACACTAGAGTCAATAGTGGACTCTTCTATCCTTCTATAAGAACTTCACCTCTAATAGAAGAGATAGAAGATACCAAGAAAAGGAATAGAATTGATGAAGAGAAAATAGACTCAAGAGAGAAATAGTCGTCTATTATACTAAAAAAGGAGATTACATGTTCTATTTATAGAAAACACGAAAAAATAATCACTCCCTAAAAGAAAGCATCTCAATCTATGTGCAACTACATCTCAATCTACATGCAACTACATCTCGATCTATGTACAACCACACTCACACATCTCAAATGTGATGGCTGCAACCACCTCATTCTCTCTCTCTACATGACCCCTAGAACAAGTCATAAGGGTCGATGTGACCACTATGTCACTGCCCTCTTACTCGCACGCCTCCGAATGAGTCAACTGCGATGGACTGACACCGCCAATAGAGTTTTGTCTCCTTGGTGACCACAATGGCAAGGGTGCACTCCTGCACCAAAAGGTGATCATCCCTTCTCTCTCTCTCTTGCTCTCTCGCTATGCTGGATCATGATTTCTAGGGATCTCGAGGGTGATCTCTAATCCTTTTTTTTCAGAATTACCACAAGGAATTTGATGCTAAATTGGCCTTTTGGCTTCCGTTCCATAGACCACGACATTCTGAGCCATACGATAAAGGGAACATGAAGAAAGTAGTGGAGGTCCTGATCTATCTAGCCTCCTTCATTCTTCTCCATCTCTGTTCTCCATTTCCCACCATCATTCCCATGGAAATCATGTGACCGATTGTACACATCGAAGCAAATCAGGCTGGAGCCTAGGTGGAGATAGTTTATGCCGTCTTCAATATTGCTCTTATGTTTGATAAGATCTAATGTTCATTCAACTCCTCATTCCATCTTTCCAACAAGGAATTTGGGGATCATGATTGATAAAACTACTTTCAGTTCAAAACATTTACTAATCACGCTAATCATAATATGCAACACCGGTGATATTTCAATTTTCTCTTTTGATTATGTTACTTGGACTCTACAATTAGTCATCTTCCTTATGAAGACAGAAATAGATAGATAGATAGGGGGAGAGAGAGAGCACTAACTTACTAATTCAACTTGTCAATAAGTGTGGTAATTCATTTAAGTGTTCATGTTTTATCAGTCAAGGAATACTAATTGTACAATGCATAGACTCTACAAGGACATCTATAGGTTCCATAAGGCTCAATTAGTACCTCCTCAAGTAGTAAGAAATATATATAGCACATGGAGAATAGCTGCAAGTGAATGTGAATTTAATATATGTTTCTTTAAAGAGAGGATAATAAGATTTAGGGAATCATTTGATGTACCTCATAGGCTAATAAAGGAGTAAGGTGGGTCATCCAAATTGTATTCACAAATAGAAATACATATCATTTCAATACATGTAGAATAATGAATAGGGCTTTGAGTAAGAGGTTTTGAGAGGTCCTCTCCAATGAAATTAATCTCAATGCTAAAGCCATTTGACTTAGATTGATAGAGAGAGAAAGAGAGAGAGAAGTAAGAAGTAAAGTCAGAGATGGTCAGATTTGATGAGAATCAAAATGATTTTTATATTTTATTTAAATTCCTTCCATTGTTTTTGGGGCATGAAAATATAGAATTCCAATGATATCCCCCATCTATTATTATGAGTGGGATCAATATGAGGATTTCATAAATCCTCTTCATTCATATGTAAATACAACTTAGGATTATAGTAGAGATTGTTGGAACTATAAAGCTAGGCGAAATGCTAAGAGGGGGGGCAAATGAATAACAATGCCATTAAGGGTGAAGCTAGATTGGCAGCCACTACTAATTCTAATATCAGAGAAGGGAGATGAGTCCAATGCTAAGGAGGTGAATCTGAATGCTACTATTGTAAAGAAAAAAAATCCTAGGAGATACATTTCCTTGGCACTTGCAATGGCTGCCACATGCTCATAATTTAGAAGATGATTATCTCTTCTCTCTATTTACCACCTCTCTCTCTCTCTCTCTCTCTCTCTCTCTCTCTGTGATTAGGATTTCCATAGATCTCAATAATGATCTCTTATGTTTTCTTCTCCACAACCAACACATGGAGATAGGTGTTGAATTAGCATCACATTTTGAGTCGTGAAGTAAAGGTAAGATGAAGAAAGTGGCATACAAGTTGTTGACCAGAAGGAGTGATGGCGATCCTCTCTTGAGTCATGATTCAGCTTCCTTCATTCTTTTCCTTCTTATTTGTTATTCTTTTGTCCTTTTATTTCTGCCTCACATGTGGCCTCCCATACAAGTTAAGGCAAATCAGGCTACTGCTCAAGCGAAAATTGTTTATGTCACCTCCTATATTTTCATTTGTCATCTAAGATCTTACATTTATTCAACTCCTCTTGTTGTTTGTACAACAAAAAATTTGGGAACCATAATTGATAGCATCATTTTCATTTCAAAAGATTTGGAAGTCTCACTAATGAGAATATGCATCATTGATGATCATTTAGATAATTTATTTCTTTTCTCATGTAACTTGGAAACTAGAATTCTTATATTTCTTATAAAATGCATGGGAGAAAAAATGTGTATATGTATATACACACATAGAGAGAGAGAGAGAGAGAGAGAGCCCACATAAAACAATTATGAGCATTTTATTTAGGTTGGGACCAAGTTTCATACCAAGTCATGACCATTTATGACTATTTATTCATGTTGAGTCCTAGGCCTACACTTGGTCTTGAGAGCATGGTGTGACAACCCCTACACAAGGGACCTGAGCATGAAAAGGGGAGAATGTGAAAGTGTTGGAGCATCTGCCTAAGAGTAGAACAACACTATCAGCACCGACAAGGTCTTGTGGAGCATGTGAACACACGAAGTAGTGACAAAATGGGGAATGGCACATCACACGAGTGTTATGTAGGTAGACACATGACGCCATGGCATTGGGAGCAAAGGACTTTATCATCATTGATATCTGGTATATATAGTAAACTATGATACTCATATTTTACCTCATGAAGTCTCATATTAGAATATTACTTTCAGTTGCTCTTCAATTAGAAGTATAGTAAATAGATGCTGCATGGTCACTACTCTAATGGCATCTATAGACAAAAGGTCAAACCTGACTTCTTATCGATTTATGGGTAGACTTTATGTGAAAAATATAAGAAGCATTTCAAGCCTATGAACATTGTTTAATGACAAAAGATGCCCTCTTGCAATTAGAGCACTTAGGCTCAGTATCTATTTAGAGTTCAATATCAATACAACATGAGCATTTAGAGTTCAGACATCCAATATGTGTTATTGTTAAGCATCAATGCATACATCTAGAACTTATCAACTTGATAAGGATTTGTCAACCCCATAAATAACCTTGTGTCTGCCATTTATAGATACATTATATGTAATTAAGTACTCTTACTTGATTTTAGATTCTTAAATAAGAAAGTCTCTCACACATTGGGTCACAAGAAATCCATTACTCTTTTGAATTCTAAGAATGAGATAAAGAGAGAGAGAGAGAGAGAGACCTATGAAGTTTCTCATAAAAGTTATTAAGAGGAAAAGCATAAAAGGGTAAATGGAGATTTCATAGTATGAAAAATATCTCCAGACTTTGCGTGACCCGTTTTCTAATTTACGTCGTTACATTTTGATTAATATAAAAAGAAGAAAAGTTTTTTATATTTTATTTAATTCTTCCCGCGCTTTTCCGGATGTTGTAAGGTTGGAACTCCAATTATGTCCTCCATTTATTTTTACGATCGGGGGCAATCTGGGAAACTGGGAAGGCCTCTCGTCTGGCTGGAGCCTATAAATACAGCCGGGGAGACGGTACGTTCTTCATCGACTCATAGCGACGAAGAGAGAGTAGAGAGAGAATGGAGGGGATGCGGTTTTTGGTATTAGTCAGTTACAGCAAGGTGAGGCGCCAGAGGGCGGACGCGGCGCTAGCGAGGGAGGAGGAGACGGCGGCTGTGTATAGGCATCCGAGTAGCAGGAGCAGCAGCACGAGCGTGGATGAATGGTGGCGGCATCGCAGGGCGGAGGAGCCAGACTGGCAGCCGCTGCTCGATCCGATAGCGGAGGAGGAGCGACGGCCGCTGCTGGATCCAATACCGGAGGAGGGAGACGACGCCGCGGTCAAGGAGGCGCGTCTGAATGCTGCCGCCGTGAAGAGGAAGAAACCTCGAAGATCAGTCTCCTTGGCGGCCGCAATGGCGGTGGCGCGCTCCTGGATCAAAAGGTGATCATCTCTTCTCGCTCTCTATTTCCCTCTCCGTCTCTCGATATGAGGAGGGGTTGTGATTTTTTAGGAATCTGGAAGATAACCTCTGCTCCTTCCCAACCAACGCAGGGAATTCGTCGTTGAATGGGCTTCCCGACTTCCGTTCCATGGATCATGAGATTCTGAGCCGTACGATAAAGGCAAGATGAAGAAGGTGTTGGAGATCCTCTCTCGCGTCCTGATCTAGCTAGTCTACTTCATTCTTCTCCCTCTTCTCTGTCCTCCTTTTTTCCCCCTTATTTCCGCGGAAAGCATGCGGCCTACTGTACAGATCGAAGCCTTTTTTCAGGCTGCTGCTCAGGCGGAGATAGTTTATGTCATCTCCTACATTCCTCTGATTGTGTCTGTTAAGATCTGACGTCCATTCAACTCCTTCCGTCTTTCCAGCAGACGAAACTACTTTCAGTTCAGAACATTCACAATATAGATAGATAGCGAGAGAGAGAGAGAGAGAGAGAGAGAGAGAGAGAGAGAGAGCTATCCCAAAAACTATATACTTGAAAGTTCTTCGGGATGGGCCCAGATTTCATGGGCTTTCTGCCGAAGCGCATTTTACGACCATTTATCCCTCCTGGGCCCCGAGCCCATACCGGGTAATGAGAGCCTGGGCTTAGATCGGTTGTCAATATGCTGACCACTGAAAGATTTTACTTCTAGAGAGAAGAGGGAGACAGAGACAGAGACAGAGAGCCCCCTCCCCCTTCCGCTTCTTCCTGGTCCCCCGCGAGGAGGAGCGGCGACATCACCGGATGTTCCGAGCGAACAGGTACGCCTCTTCTTCCTCTCCTTCCTCCTTTTCTCCTCTTTTCTCCCTTATTTTTCCGAAACGGAGATATCAGGGAAGGCATCGGGGCCTCTGCGGATTCTCCCGAGTCCACCGTCCTTGAGGGACAGATGCAAACTGAAGTGGAAGATGGTACTGAAGAAGTTGAAGTCGGAGATATGATAACTTTGAAGCAGAGGAGGGTAGAACTAGGTGACATCTGAGAAGGGGACAGACCTTCGATCTCTGATGGCACCGCAATCAGAGGTTCAGATTGGATTACAACGTCTTATTATTACATGAAAATTAACAATCAAATAACCGAGGGGTATGGGTAGTGCTCAGAGGGAAGCAGGGGTGGAATTGCTCTTATGTTGGATTGGCCAGAGTAGCCTTACTGTTTTTGTTCCGGAAACCAGACTCTAGGCGATGATGACGATGATGATGATGGCATGAGATTTAATTTACTTCTTGATTTACTGATGTGATTGGTGACGAGTATGGAGATATATTCTGCTATTAGTTCGTAACTGTACCTTGGTTTTATTATGATACCCGGTTGTGTGTTCACTGTTGTGCACAGAGCAATGAGACGAGCATCTCCCATTGGGTTCAATGATTCATTTCGCCCGGTCCTCTTACCTTCTCTAGGCGAGTCACAGTCTTAATAAAGGTGGTGGCCCTGTCGATACTTCCTCGGAGAGGAATTTTTTTCCCGTCGATATTATTCGTGGTGAGACATATTCCCCTGATTTCACTCCATTCTAGCCTAAATTCCTTGGCTGATATGGATTTCTTTAGACTATCAGCAAAGGACAAGACTTGGGACCTTTGTGAACTTCTACTATTTTTTTATCCTCCTTCTGTTCTATGGTATTCTTGGACTGTACTGTCAACTCCTTGACTATGCAATCACCCTGCCACCTCTGCCTCCTTCCCCAATAAGTGAAAATTCCGTCCAAACATTCAGCAGACAGACGACACCAAGGAGAATCCCACGATTAGATTCCACATGAATGCATTAGATCGACCTCTTTTGACTCCTCTCTCTGCAAATGGGATGCTTTCCAACATGTCAATCCCCTGCCCCTTGCTCGACAATTGCCTCCTTTTCTAGAATTTTTTAATTAGTTCAAGAGTGATTGGTTCTCTTGGAATGAAATTTTCCTTTGCAGAACATTAATGACCCTTTTGAAATTTAGAAAACGTTTTTCTTATTTCCCTTCCTCTCCATCCTTTCTTCTGGGTTCATTTTCTTATTTCTCTGTGAAGCACAGAATGTGCTGTTTAGGTACCCGACATGCTTGATTTTTAAGCCTGCCTGATGCTCTCTCCTCACCATGTTTTGCTGAAATCTCCAGAACCTATCATCACAGCCTGAGGTCCATGCCATGACCTCTTCTTTATAGGTATAGAGAGAGATGAAGACAGGAAGTTCAGTTGGATAAGAATTATGAGGGTTTGTAACCAGAAATTCAGTTTGGATCATTGAGGCCTTCAACCTCATGTGTGTTGACATATGCCTACCTTGTCTCTGAGATGAGAATTTCACTGTGTTTCCCCATTCGAGCATTTGAAAACTTTGTTCATGTTGTTAAATCCCGATCCTTGATACAAATGGTTCATGCGTCAGGTGAATGCAAAGTCTGCCTTGACTTTCTTTCACTAGCTTCCTGTGATGAATCTGTGATCATAAGTCGTGGATGCTGCATTTGGGACTAATATTTTATACTTGTGTCTCTTGGTTGTCATTCAAATCATAGTCAAAGATGTATCTTGTGGACGGTTCATTTTGGAGCCCTTACTTCGTCTAATCATCGTAGGTTTTGGACATGGGAATTAGTAAGACTGAGGTCAACTTACGAAGGTTGCTTGTTGCTTCACCGCACCAACAAAATCAGGCAAAATTGATACAGGTGAGTCACAAAATCGATGCCATTTCTATTTTTCTTGTTTGAGTTGCTTGATGAACTTTTTTCTTTTTATAGTTCATGTTTGTCATATAACTTGTAGACATATCTTCATTATATATTTTATTTTATAGCATGCAAGAAAATTTTAAGAAAAAATAGATTAACTTCACTAGGTCCAGGATCCGCATGAAACAGTTGAATTTTTGTTTAATCTGGTGTTTCTTTGACATTAACCCTACCAGATGTGTAGTTATATGATTGTTACCTAAACCAGATAAAACACTAGTGAAACACTACTACACTAGATTCTTGTACCTGTAGCAAGTAACAATCATGTTGTCTTGGGAACACCATAGCCAAATTTCGTGATGGCCACTCACATTTTGGCGAAAAGAGAGCATGCGTGGGGACCCACTAAATTTAGCTTTTTATATCTGTGAGTATGGTGTTTTATGACTATCTTAAATTCATTGAATGGAAATAAAAAGGTAATTCATCCACATATATTCATATCCATTAAAGGAGCACGAAGAACATATGTGTACCTTAAATGCTTCGTTCAAATTCTCATCCTCAAATTACTATCGATGAAATCCACAAAGTTATAATTTTATGACTTGTCAATAACATCGTATGAGAGACATTTCAATTTCGTCCATTTTCCTGGACAGTATTATTTCAAAAAAATTATCTGTTTTGTCTTTCTTCTTTTGGTATTTTTTTCGCCGTTTAAGTTATTAACTAAGCATGCTCTCTTGATCATCTTTTCATTTCTTCCATAAACTTGCTGTGAAAAGAACCTCTTTATTCAACACTACATTTATGAGCATGATGGAGTTTTCTTGGATTTTTTGATAGGGATGGCTAGATTTCAGGGTTGGTTTCAACTTCAATTACATAGTCCCTCCGTTTTTTTCATTCTTTGGGGAATTAAAGAACACAAAGTTATGGTTTTTTATGGAAGGGTTTATTTATCCCATCATTTCTTCTCGTATCTTTGAGCTTCTATTGGAGGAGACCCAGAAGCATGACGATGGAAATCCAAATCAAACCGGTTATTGGCAGACTTAGTGGATTTTTTTTCTCTGCGATTTGGTGGGTGATACAATCCCTTTTGGAAGGATCGGATCTGAGTGAATTAGGAGAGAAACAATTGTATGAATTCACAAACTCGGGACAATTTTGTTGAGATAGAACGTCAAGGATGACAGTTCTATCGAAGTACAAGAAACGAAAGAAGGAAAGAAGAGTAAAAGGGTGCGGAATTAATTCGAGAGGATTCCCCTGCCTTTCTTAGTTCCGAACTGTTCTCCCCTTGATATTACCCCCCGAGGTTTATTTATGGTCCTCACACGTTGTCCACATGTCCCCCTCTTATGCCTTCTATATGTCAGTAATGGGGCCATAACAGTGGACTAGTTGAATGCCTCTGTTCTTTCAGAGTAGAAATTGTATAGTCTTCTTCACTCTTTCTCACAGATGCTTTTAAGATCTGTTCATATTAGGCACAATGTTGGTTCATCTCACAGTAATAAAAGAAAATAAAGAGTCTTGAAGGTAATCACAAAGTTACCTATAAAAAAAATGTATGGATAAATGGGTCTGATCATTCGGGATTGCAAGTGGCTGAATCTGTTTTTTTTTTTTTTCCCCTTTTTATTACCCCTCAGTGAACATTTTTTATTGGATGTGCCTTCTTTTTCTCACTCTAGCTTTGTGCATGAACACGCAGTATGTTGCCAAGTTGCGAGAACTTCTGGAGGAATTGGGCGCGGAGACAACGCCAGAAGGACTGACGAGGTTCATATGGTCTTTAAATTTTTTCATCACCTGTTATAATTTTCTTTTTTTAATATTTTTTTTATCTTGAATTTGCATTAAACACCACTGCCCATCCTACCTTTTCTACGTTCTTGTTCCTAGAATAGGGATGAAAACTAAGGAAAACAATTCATTGCCTTACTCATTTTATAGACCAGTTCCCAAGCAAGGACAGCCAGTTGCCACTAATGGGCTCTAATTTTTAAAAATATGAGCCCAAGCCCAGCCGGGGCTCAATGAAGAGCCTGAGCTCCCAGCCTATTAGGGTGTTAGTCTGCCATTTAGAATGTGGGCCCATTAGGGTAAGCCCATTTTTGGTATTCGAATATGGTGTTAAATCGGAAAACCTAGAATATTGCCTTATTGACTATTATAGATATGCACTTAAAATGTCAGTTAAAAGCGAAAATTCTTATGGTCAGCAGTCCCCGATCTAATTTTTATGTGATATTTATTTTGAGAATATTATATTCTGCAACATTAATATTTATAATTTCTCTTGAAAAATATTTATTACAATTTTCCATTATATAACAGGGATTTATTTGAATGTATGATTACAGCGTTTCCAAGGCAAAGTTGAATGAATATTCAGAGAAGATTGAAGCTCTTGCATTAGAGCTGATTGCTCCTCTGGTACTTGTTATTAATTTCCATTCTTGTCGTCATTTAAAACAATTCTTTCCCCGAAAAATTATATTTTTGAGAGAAATTTCAAGCCCCCTGCATGGCAATTAACGGATGCTTTGGAAATTAACGTCCAAATATAGCAGCTTATTGAAATTTTTAATGCTGTTAATTTACCTCGCTGGGAATTAATTCATGTGGTCAGCCTCAAGAGCTTGAGCCTGTGGAAATCGTTCAAGAGGAGCCCTCAAGCAACCCTGACAGAATAACCTCTTCTGGGCTGAGAAGAAGACTGACGTCAGTGAAATCCACTTTTATAAATAGAAATCTCGTAAATAAATAAATATTTATTTATTCGTTTAATTTTTTTAACGGTTTGCATTTAAATATTAAATGGAACTTCCCAGGCATCAAACAGAAGCTGTTGTTGAGAGGGCAGATGAGAACACAGAAGGCAATCGGATGGCTCCAGTGAGGCTTGATACTGCAGGGCATGCCCACATCGATAAACATAGGTATTTGTCTATAATTATATTTTTTTTCCCTTGAAAATAGAAATAAAATAAGGATATGGGCAGTGGGAAAAAGACCCATTTCGGATTGAATCAGGTGGCTGGATTGATCTGATCAGGTGAATCAGAGGGAAGGAGAGATGGGCGGCATGAATCGGTTTGACTTTCCATCTGGGTTTTCCAATCTGAGCTTTAGGAAGGAAGGAGATGAACAGAATTCATTTGGGCCCATCGGGTCAAAGGGGGCCCGTTTAGCCAAGAACCGACCGAGCTGTTTGGGATTTTCTAAGTTTAGACTAGCATTCACTACGAATCAACCTTTGGTCAAAGGGTTCTGGCTAATTGTAGCCCATCACCAGTTGAATCGACACTTTTGGTTACATTATTATGATAAGATCCTCCCATAGAAATGGAGTAGGAGTCTTCCTATCCCCGTTGACTTCTAGTCCTATTTCAGTCCTCTGCAAGTAATATTTGATTTTAAGCATAATTAGCATCCATTTTCTATTTATGCTGAACAGGAAGCTTCAAGAGGATTTGACTGACGAGATGGTCGTTCTGGCTCAGCAACTCAAGGAGAACAGCCTCCTCATGAACAGGTCCTTGCAGGACACCGAGAAGGTACTGGGCCTCATCATCCCTTCTGAAAATGCCCAAATTATTTAATTTCTTAAAAATCAGTTCTTTCGGGATAATCTTGATACCAGAATCTCCAGGCCAGCTCATAAGTGAGCTCATGAAATCTCATCGAGATTGGTCAACGAGATCTTGGTGGGTTCTGTGGATCCGTCTGATTCAGCTGCATTTTCATTGGGTCGTCTGATTCAGTCAACCCCATCCTGCTTCATTTTCTGTGGATCATCTATCTGATTCGGCAGATCATCTGATTCAATCTGGGTTGACCAATCAATCAATTGGAGAAGCCCGAATCTACCTTTTTTTATAAAAAAAATCAGTTCTTTCTAAATAATCTTGATATCAGAAATCCTTGCCCATCGGTGATCGTCCCATGAAATCTGTGGGTCGTCATATTCAGTCAACCCCAGCCCGGCTGGGCTGACCAAGCAGTCAATCGGAAGAGTTGACCTTTCTCTGATGCTCTCGGATTCGGCTTGATGGTCCGGCAGGTACTAGACTCGACTGAGAAGGCGGTGGAGCACAGCCTGGCTGGCACGGGCCGGGTCAACGCCAGGGCCATGGCAATCTACTCCCAGAGCACCAAGACGTCCTGCTTCACGTGGCTCGGGATCTTCTTGATGACCTGCATCTTCATCATGGTTGTCCTTCTCATCAGAATCACTTGATCTTGATCGGACGGCTGCAATCCGCTCCCTTGTGCTCGTTGGATGAAAACCAAAAGGGCTTCAGCTGAGTCCTTTCTGCTTGTTCTTCTCCACTAATTGATTCCCACCCTTTCTTGGTCCAATCTTTGTCAGGTTTTCATTTGGGCTCGTTTTCCTGGCCCATTGTGGGAACTGAGCCGCTCATACTTTTTTTGGGCCCAGCCCGGTTGTGATACCGGGCCGGCCCGAATTAGGGCGAATTCAGCATGAGAACAGAATCATTTTCTCTCTTCGGGGGCTAATTTCAATCACCCACGTGGCAAGCAGTCCCTCTCTATTGACTCTCATTTTTTTTAGCTAAGGGGTTTACCTTTTACGTGTAAGATTTTGGTGGGGTCTGTGAAATCTGCAATGGAAGCCCGTTGACCTGCCAAGATAGAAACCCCCGTTGTGGCGGGCCTCCTTTTAATAATAATGTTATTAATAAAGACTTTCATGCGTAAATAAATTCATAATTGCTAAAAAAAATTAATATATATAGAAATATTAAAAAATTATGTGCTATGTAGAGTCAACTGCTCAGTAAATTCTCGTGTCTGACTAAATCTCTCTCTCTCTCTCTCTCTCTCTCTCTCTCTCTCTTGATTGTATCTATGCGCCTATGGAGGGAATCAGCTCCGGAAATCACAGAGGTCGAATTGAGAGACCGTCTTTCGGACCTGTCTAGTCTGCAGCCAAGACAGAGAGAGAGAGAGAGAGAGAGAGAGAGAGAGAGAGAGAGAGAGAGAGGAAGGGAGGGTATTCTTCTTCTTCTTCTTCGTCCTCTCCGACGGGTTCGTTAGGGTTCGTCCTCGGACCACTTTTGTCTGAGAACTGGGAGAGAACCGTGGGCATCAGAGAGAGGAGAGAGAGGGGAAAGGGGAGAGATAGAGAGAGATGCTCACAGGCCGCATGCCCCAGAACAGACATTTCTCGGGACCACAGGAAAGGAAAAAGTCCCGCTTTTTCACTCAAGAGGGGAAGTTGGGAGGTCCAGGATCCAAAAATCCTCCATTCAATTGATCAGAGAGATTCCTCTCTGTCTATCGTTGTCAGAGAGAGAGAGAGAGAGGCTGGATCATGCTCAGCAATGTGCCTTCATCACTCTAGAAAACTTTCCTTCCATTTCATCAATGGAGGAATTGAAGGACAATGGCTCTGAGAAATAGCACCCGCCCTCGATCCTCAGCTTCAATGTGATAGAAAACCATTATAGAGCTAGAGTTTCTTCCGGGAATTGGGAGAGAGAGAGAGAGAGAGAGAGAGAGAGAGAGAAAGAGAGAAAGAGAGTCAATGTGAGGATCGGAGAGGGTTAGAGAGATGTGATATCATCAAAGGCATTTTATGCTAATTACAAATGTTAAGTTGGCTGCCGAACAGCAAATTGGGGGGTTTATGCCCCTCTTCAAGGTAAAATCTTCTCATTTTCTTTAAGCTAGAGGCGTATTTTCTTGGAGAGAGAAAAGTTTTCTATTCGGAGATATGGGCAAGAAGGCATAAACAGCCCTCATTAACAGGAAGGAGATACACGGCCACCTCCCCCGGTGAAGGGAAAGAAGATTGGGACGTGTCTCCTTAGAGAGAGAAAGCGGGAAGGGATCAATGAGAAGAGTACAGGAAGTGTGCACTGCTCTCTCTCTCTCTCTCTTATTCACTTGTCCATTCCATCCTCGTTGGTTGCTTAAGAGAACCTGGTAGGAGTAATACATCTGATCCAAAGTAGTTGCGGCTTCAAGTCACGGACACTCAGATACATGCACGAATGAATGCGTAGAATGACTACGCAGAGAGAGAGAGAGAGAGCGCGACAGAGAGAGCGACAGAGAGAGAGAGATAGCATGGAGCTGCCGCATGACGCCCTAGCATATGCCTCCATTCGAGAGATGCTAAGAGACGTAGAGGTCTCACATGAGGCTCAGGCCTAGGAATCTATGGGAAAAAGAGAGAGAGAGCCAGGGGGGTGTCACATGAATCCCAATGCTACTCATTATCCTAGCGAGATAGCTAGGGGAGAAGAGCGAGAGAGAGAGAGAGAGAGATGAGCAGTCCCATGAATCTTATGACTACGCAGTATCCTAGCGAGATAGCTAGAGAAAGAGAAGAGAGGGAAATAAATATATATATATATATATATATGTATAGCTAGCGAGAGAGAGAGAGAGAGAGGGCAGAGGAGGAAGAGGGATGAGAATCTGTCTCGTGGATCCGAAGAGTACGCCTTACCGTAGCGAGAGACTGAAGCAAGAGGCTGTCACTTGGTGGGCAAAAATGATTTATGGGCCTCCAGATCGCTGGATATTCTATCAAGAAAAAACGACGTCCTGTCGGACCTTTTAACGTTTTACGCAGACCCCACAAATATGTCATACATTTAAAAAATGACATTCCCTATAAAATTTCGCCGGCATCACGATAGAATATGATGGCCCATGATCTCTCTCTCTCTCGGTCCCTCTTTGATCTATCTAAAACGTACACACTCTCACCCTTTACTCTCTCTCTCTCTCTCTCTCTCTCTCTCTCGCTCTCTCGGTCCCTCTTCGATCTATCTAAAACGTACACACTCGGCTCTGCCTTTTACTCTCTCTCTCTTTCTCTCCCTCCCTTACTCTCCTCTTTGATCTATCTAAAGCGTACACACTCTCTCTCTCCCTTTTACTCTCTCTCTCTCTCGTTGATCTATCTAAAACGCGTAGATACTCTCTCTCTCCTTCCCTCCCTCTCTCCTTTCTTATGACGCTCTCTCCCGCTTACTCTATCTACCTACCTCTTTCTGTCTTTCTTTACAAGTCTCCCGTCGTCTTCCTACGGACGTATTTCTCTACCTACATCTCTCTCTCCCTCTCTCTCTCATAGTTCCCACCTTCTTGCTTCTTGTCATTCAATGACCCTTCCCTCGCTCTCGCTTACCCAAGTTCCCCATCATACATTCATAGAAATTTAATAAACTCTATGATACATATAATCCCTTAAATATTACACGTCCGTATTGGGTAATATGCATCTCGCTTTGCGCTTGGAAACCGGGATAGTCAAATCAGGATTTGACTTCTAGTACTCTCTCTCTCTCTATCACGGTGGGTATCGAGCCCAGGGTCAAGAAATCTCTCACGCCCTTCCACGTGTCTTACGTGGAGAAGGGTCAAAGGCGTGTGATAGCGGGCCCAACTGAGACCGGTCCTTTTCGGTTCGAGTGCGTCGCGTGCGCTTGGTTGGGTCCACTCTGAAAGCGATGACGTCACCACCACTGGCTACTTTTTCATGGCATTTTCGGCCAAAAGTGGAAAAATATGCCAAAAGAGGGGAATAACACTTTTCTGGAAAGGACCCCCTCCCCTCCCCTCGCCCTCACCCACTTGCCACCCTTGCTCCGGAAGTAAGGGCTAGCACGTAAATAGTCAGGATATAAATGGAATACAGGAATGAAAAAGGGTCCATAATAAATATGTCTAGAGAGGGTGGGCCAGATCAATCTAGCTCTTGATGCGGAAAGAAGATTTTTCAAACTACTTTATCTAGTGAGAGAATTTGTGCTGATGGACGGTCAAGATTTGCCATGTGTTGACAAGTGGCAGCTTTAGACTTTCTTCTATTTTAAGAAATTTTTAATTTATTTTCGTACTTTTATTTCAGCTACTTTAGATTAACTTTGTACTAATATATAGTCATAAACCTCCATATTTCCAAGTGTGAAGAGGTGCCAACGATTTCCAATAGCCAAGTACTTCCCTTTAAGAGTTGTTAATTTTTTAATTAAATCAGTAATTCCCTTTACAGGTTTCAATGACGTGGGTTACCCAATAACATACCTAAGCCTCTCCAGGCATGGGCTTTGAAGTCCAGGTTTTAAAGAGAATTCAGGCCCGACCCAGCTCCCATGTTAACTAGACAAAAACTTTATCGAGAAATCCAGTCACCACTTTTCTCACGAAGAACCCATCTCACAATTTCTCGTATCCAAGCCATTATTTCTCTCTCTGCCTACGTGTATGTCTCTCTCTTTCTCTTCGTCACTCTCTCTTCCCCCAATTGTTCTAGAAAATGATGAATTGAGAAATTAGGGTTCATTTATGAATAGTCTAAGGTGAGCATAGGACATTGAACCTTATGATTCATCTGGGGGCGAACTTGAATGGTGTTCGGCTCAAAATTCACCCAATTTCTTGTCATTCACATAATAGCCACCAGTTTCCTAGCCCTCCTCTCTCTCTCTCTCTCTCTCTCTCTCTCTCTCTCTCTCTCTCTCTCTCTCTCTCTCTCTCTCTCTCTCTCTCTCTCCCTCTCTCTCTCTCTCTCGCTATATATATATATATATATATATATATCTTTCTATCTATCTATCTATCTTTTCATTTATCTATCTATCTATCATGCACCCTATATCTCACAGAGGCGAATATGAAGGTAGGATTGCACTGGCTGAGGTCCGTGGTAGTCCAGCTATTGGACCAGACTTTGAGTTTCTCTCTAGAAGATTAAGTGGGTGGGTATAGGCTGTGTAAGAGATGCCTCATCTCTGGCTTGAGACTGGAAAGATCCAATTTCAGCTTAGGGGGATCCACAATTTGGAGCTGAAAAATATTTTGAAAACCCTTTGGATCAAAGCCTGTGATTGCTTTTTGGTGATCATATAAAATTTTCCCCCAACCTACCTGGATTCTATAGGTCGGGTAATGTAAAGGAAGATACACAATTAAAAAGAAAGGGCACATTCCATAATCAGGGTTAGGGTTTCTTATCAGTTCTTCTTTTTCCTAGGAGTAGACCTAACGTATCTCTAATGATTCCCCAAAATCTTCACTTTTATAAGGTCAATGGATCAATATTCCTTGTTTGGAACGCATTAACTTTGATATCTGTACTATCCATGTTACGCTTTGAGTATGCAACCCAAAAGATAATGGACGGGCCAAGAGAGGAGAAATGGGTGATGAAATTATTGGGATTCTAATAACCTCTATCTATTATGAGTATGCACAAATGAAAGGTGTCGAAAACCCCCACCAAGCTTCAAGTCTTGTATTGAAACTCTTTGTCGCTTCTTGTAAGGTTTACAGCAAATCAAGCCAGATTTTTTGGAAAAAAGAGATAGAAATGCTCAGTTGACCTTGGAGAATGCCAAGTGATAAGAGAATATGTTTTAGACTTTTATATTATACCCTGACGTAACCTAGACCTAGTTCAAATAGATGTCGACCCATGATTAATTTTCTCTCCAGACTTGCAGGCCAGATATTAAACAAATATTGCTCAGGCTAGGAAGGAATCTACACAGCCCGCGTATGAACTTCGTTAATCATAAATGATATTTTTTCTTTGTTCCTTTCGTGTTTGGCTAACGGAAGAAAGAGGTAAATTGGCAATCATGGTTATATGTTGAGGAACACCCACGTGCAAAGGGCAACATTAGTCATGCCACGTACGACCCACAAGTTGAAATTCCAGGCAGGATTAAAAGCAGTTGAATCGAATCCTAATCAAATCTTTTAAATGTCAGTCGATGAACTCTAGAGTAGATTGGACTCCCTTCGGAGTCCGATACAAAGTCTTAATTCTCACTTTGTGATCAACCTGATATCCATCAGATTAAACCGCTCTCACTATACATCATCTTTCCCACCTTGATCAAACTCAACGAATCAGAATCATAATTCATCATGTTCGATCATGATCGTTCAATCTTCATATGATAGGTGTACTCCCGTGAGTTTTTCTCCAGCATGCTTCATCTAACACACTCGTAGAATGTGTATGCTCATACATGGATGCACACCAAATATGTTGCTTTTGGTTGATTGATGGCCCCGTTGACATTGATCAGAGTGACAAGAAGTTATTCTCACTCTGATCCAGGTATGACGATGTGGTATTCTCTCATTCGTTACTAAACCCTAGTGTTATCATCACCAATGCTGAGCCTAGATCAACTTATCCAAATCCTTGATGAGTCAATTATTTTGATGGTAGTTACTAAAAGATATTCTTAGTCATGTATAATTATAGATATCCCGGTTTTATGTAATATAGCTAAAAATCAATAATTTCCAGAGAAAAAAATGATTTGTCCCAACTTCAAGCTTATCTGGATTGGGTTTTGGATTCAATCTACAAACCAGCAAAAGCAATAGTTGATCATCACTCCCACTTTATGCGGATGGAATCTTGATCTATGTCTGGCTACTATCGCATCGTCATCTCCTTTGAATTTTGAGATGCAAAATTAGCTGATCTGATTTATGGCCAACTTCGTTCTTTCTAAGTGGTCAAATTATTTATACTCCATCACGAAGCTTTCATGTAATTGCCACGCGTATTCATGAATCGAGGTATCAATCTACAACGCTAAATTTGGCCCATTGTGACTCTATTTGCATAAAAAAATGTGTGCAAGAGAGAGAGAGAGAGAGAGAGAGAGAGAGAGAGAGAGAGAGAGAGAGAGCGGCGGGTAAACAGAAAGGGAGACAACGCATCACATCATGTCCCTTTGTGAGAAGAATATTGAGAGAATTATTCGAAATTGTATTTAAGTGACTGCAGGGAGATTATAATAATATGCGAGAAAATTGACCACCTGACTGATCTCTTCCCGCCACGAAGTCAAATGTCGATCCCTTCGTGACCTGCTCTCTCCGATTCTCTCGTCTGCTCATGCTTTCTTGATCACTTATTGCTTTTATATAAGCAGGTGACTTTCCCATTTGGTCTGGCATTCCTCTGAAAGGAGGGAGGGAATGAGGGAGAGAGAGGGAAGGAGAGAGGGTGGAGAGGAAGAAGGAGACAACTAGGGAAAAGAAATTGGAACGAAGGACTAACAGCATCGAGATAAGGGAGAGGAAGAAGAACGAGAGAGAGCGAGAGAGAGAGAGAGAGGGAGGGAGGGAGGGAGGGAGCTAGAGAGAGAAAATTGAAGATGGCGGAGGAATTTCGTCCGGGGGTCCGTAGAGCGGGGTGGTGGAACGCGGCAGAAGGCGGGGCTGACGGGGAACCGCGGTCTGGGACGGCACCATCTGGGTCCTGCTTGGCGGGGGGAGATCTGAGGAGCTACCGGTGGCCGGCGGAGGCAGCTGTCAGCAAGCCAATATGGTCCTGGGAGGAGTCTGCAGATTCAGAAACCTTCCAAGGCCCCGATCCGACAGGTGCCAGCGGCTTCCTGAACGATCTGACGGTGCCGACGAGTAGTCTCCCCCTCTCCTCCTCCACGGACTGGAGCCAAGTCTTGATGTGAGTTTCTATTTTTTTCCCAGAGATAAAGTCTTTAGCTGAAATTATCTGATTTTCCAACATTACTATGCTATAATTTCGTCTTAACCTCAAATTCTTTTCATCTTTTTAATTATCGGGTAGAAGTGGGAGCCGGCTTGAGGAAAATCTCCAAGCCATGCACCAGGACCATCTGAGCTCAAGAACCTATCTTTCCCAGGAATCCAGCATGGGGTCGAATGGATTCCAAACGGGCACCGGAACCTCCGGAATTCAGTCCAAACCATTCGACCACCAAGGATTCCTGCTCCACGGCCTTCTGAACGACGATTTCCCTTATCCGACGAGCAATCGCTTCGCTGCAGAAGGCTTTTCAAGGCAGTTCTCCACGAGAGACGCCGTCAAGGCCAAAGTGAGTCCCTCTCGAAGAGCTTCCTTCTTGTCCCTTTCTGGTAGTTAGGGTTTTGCCAAAAGTCTTAGGTGGTTCCAGGGTTCGGCGATGAAGAAGACAGACGGCGGAGCTCCGGCGTTGAAGAAACCCAGAGTGGAGACGCCCTCGCCGTTGCCGAGCTTCAAGGTAGGTGACGAGAGTGACGACATCCATGGAGGAGGAGATTAGGAATCATGGGTCTTGTTTTTTCTTCTCTCTCTCTCTCTCTCTCTCTCTCTCTCTCTTTCTAGGTGAGGAAAGAGAAGCTGGGGGATAGAATCACAGCTCTCCAGCAATTGGTATCGCCTTTCGGAAAGGTGGGCTCTAGGGTTATGCTCTCGTGGATTCATACAGAGAGCATCGTAGTTACTTTAGAACACCCTTAGAACACCCTTAAAGGTATGTATATGGTATTGCTGAGACGAACCGTCCTCTCTCTCTTGCAGACTGATACGGCATCTGTTCTCTATGAAGCCATTGAGTACATCAAACTCCTGCATGAGCAAGTTGGTGTAAGCCCCCCCCCCCCCCCCTCTCCTCTCACTCTCGCTCTCTCTCTCTCTCTCACACACACACACACTATCTTTCTATGTTCATGGATTCATTTATCTAGGTTTGTCTACGGTTAGCGAGGAAATACGAACGCTTAAATTTTTTCTTTTATCCGCATTTCAGGTCCTAACCACTCCATACTTGAAAACCGGTCCTTCTATGCAGCATAAGCGAGCAGTATACTCTCTCACTCTCCCTCTTTCTCGTCAAGTTCCACATTAAGGAAAAATTATACCTCGTGCTAAATTAATGAGCCCATTTTACTAGTTACCAATTACTTCTGAATTGAATAGCCTCATTCTCCGCTTCTCTGTCCATCTCTGTCTCTCTACTGTCGTTGTTCATACCCCTCCCTCTGATCAACAACGATGTTCCTACAGGACTCGGACAACTCATCTAAGAGCGACGACCCAAAGGATGATCTTCGGAGCCGAGGCCTCTGCCTGGTCCCTATCTCCAGCACCTTTCCGGTCATCAACGAGACGACACCGGATTTCTGGACCCCGACGTTTGGAGCACCTTACAGGTTAGAGAGATGAGAGGGCAACTGCAATTAGATTCTCTCACTAACAGCCTGGGCTAACACAGAACAAAGAAGAATGCCAAAGAAAAACTATTAAATCATATGATTAAGTATATGACTATATATCATTCATTGTCAATCGAGTCATGTCGAATGATAGAAAGAAATGGGAAGATAGACAGCGAAATGATGTGTGCAAGGTAAGGATGTAAATGGACAGCGCTAGGTTTTTCTTTTTTTTTCTTTTTTTTCTTTTTAATTTTTTTTCCTTAAGAGAGAGAAGGGGGGGATGAGGGAAGAAGAATGGAGTATGACGTGAATGATTGTGAGTCAGCCACGTGACAAGAGAACGGGCCTGGCTCTGGGTTTACTGGGCAATTGAGAGCCCTAGTGCGAGAGCTTTAGGAAGAGGTAGGCGGTGCTGAAGTTATTCACATGTTTGGGGTTGGAGAATGGTAATTGGTGCCAAACTCAGAACTAAGTGAACGGGGGGTGGGGGCTTCATTGAAGAGGTGGGGCGGGGAAGTTTGTCGACCAGTTGCTGAATTTAGCAGTAGGGATAACTAGGTGGAGCTAAGGCTCTCTCTCTCCTCTCTCTATCCCTCTATCCCTTCCTCTCTCTTTCTCTCTATCCATGAATCCCTGTCGCTCCTTTCCAATCTGTCTCCCTACTCTCTCTCTCATCCCCCCTTTTCTTGCATCTGCTCTTCATGACAAGAGGAAAACATCAAAATCCCCCATGAGCAAATTGGTCCCTCCTCTCTCTCTCTCTCTCTCTCTCTCTCTCTATTTATGCATACAACATCTGGCACGTCTCTCTTGTTGTTGGAAAAAAAAACTACAGGGAATAACTGAAGTCTTGGGATTCACATGATGGGCGAAAGTGGATTCTTTTGTTCTCGAGTTCCCAAGTCCTTCGCTTTGTTTCTACATATTTGGTCGCCATTGATGGACTGCTGGAAGTCAGGCTGGACCACAGCCTTCCTCCTCTCCCTCTCCCCATCTTTTACCTTCTTCTCTCACTCTCTCTCTCTCCCCCTCCCGATGCGCCCCCCACCCCCTCACAGGCGTGTGTTATAGGTTCGATGCCGGAGCATAATACAACGAATAGAACATTCTTAAAAGGTTAGCAGAACAGTTAACTAGCCAGCTATGCCGAGTGGAGGGGAAGGCTCGACGCGCAACTACACTTTCCCTCTTGTCGTGCCCGTATAGTTTTAATAAAAAAAATAACTTATAGTCTTAGCTGTAAAGGAAATTCATCGTAACGAGCTCACACGGAGTGAGCGAAGGACACCAATCCCCCAGGCTAGACCTCGGAGTCATGGGCGAGAGAATCTCTCTCTCTCTCTCTCTCTCTCTCTCTCTCCCCCAAACACCTCCAACACACACAATTGGATTCATTAGAATTTCATACCCTCGTTTCTAAACTCATCACTCTTGGGACTCACACAGCCCAAAACTTTGAAGACCGAGGACTAGGTTCTGTCCCGGACTGTTACGAAGCTCAGAACTTGCCTATTTATGCAAGCCTGTACTACTATTACTACTAAATTGACAAAATATACGTAGAGAGAGAAGGGGAGCGAGATAGATAGATAAATAGATACGTAGATAGATAGATAGATAGATAGATAGATAGATAGATAGATAGATAGATAGATAGATAGATAGATAGATAGATTGAGAGAGAGAGAGAGAGAGATAAATAGATATATAGATAGATAGATACATACATACATAGATACATAGATACATAGATACATAGATACATAGATACATAGAGAAAGAGAAGAGAAAGAGAAAGAGAGAGAGAGAGAGAGAGAGAGAGAGAGAGAGAGAGAGATGTTTCTTACATGGGCGACAGTGAGATTGCCACGTAGAGATTAAAATGGGCTGTCTTTTAAATAAGACTTTATCACATTCTGGGCCAGGCGAAATCGGACGTGTGTTGGGATGATCCGATAAACCAAATCTTCATCAAGATCAGTAGACCCAAGTACCATAGTTTCATGAATAGCTATAGAATTTTTTCTTCTTTTGATCTCTTCAAAGTTTTTCTTATGCAGTATTAAATCTTAGAAGAGTTTTCATTAATAGTTCATGTTAAAGCTCTATGAATCTCGATTCCAAAAAAAAAAATCTTAAGTATTACGTAATAAATGCACAATTTATTAATACATATGAAAACCACACATGTACAATGGAAATGTTTATATAAATTTGATTCAATTGATAAATTCTCTTCAGAACATTATGGGGGTGGGGAGAGTAAATTGTGGCTGAACAACCACTGTAGTATGCTGATGGCCAACACTCTTGACTCACCCTGTACGCTAATTTTGTTGATTTCAAGAAATTATTAACTTAATCCCATAAAGTGTTTTTAAAGGCCCAAAACATGTCCAAAAATATTCTCATACACATTCTTTGTGTGTTCGCGCGCGCGCGCTCGAATGTGTGTGTGTGTGTGAGTGAGAGAGAGAGAGAGCGAGAAGTATATACATATATACGTAGGGTGAGTAAGAGTGTTAGATAGGTAGACAGGAAGAGAAAAACCGGAGAGAGACAGAGAGGAAGATGGTGACAGAGAGAGAAAAACCGGAGAGAGAGAGAGGAAGATGGTGACAGAGAAAGAGACTGACACAGAAAGGGTGAGGAAGGGGAGAGAGGGAAAGAGAGAGAGAGAGAGAGAGAGTCTCCTCACCAGGATGTGCAACTGAGTTCTCGATTTGTCTGTCCTGCCCAGAAGCTCTCTTCTAGCCGAGATGCCACGGGGGAGCTCGTCGCGTCCTCTGGTGTTCTCCGAACGGTGAAAATTCAAGGAGAATAATTAAAGTGTTGGGATCCACAGGGGGGAAGATTGTGAGGGGCTCTCATACTCTTCTTGGGGATCCAGCGTAAAGCATTACGCTTTTTCCAGTACACTTACACGCTATATGATAAGAGTAATTCTCACCGAGCTTGTGAATTAACAAGTTGGCGTAACTCTCTCTCTCTCTCTCTCTCTCTCTCTCAGACTGGTACAGAATATGCTCTTTCTGAGGTCATATAAATACTCAATGCTGCTGAATGAGCAAGTTGGTGTAACTCTGTCCCCCTCTCTACAGCTTTCCCCCTATTTCTCTCTGGCAGACTTGTACGGAATATGTTCTTAATGAGGCCATATCATCAAGGACCGGAATGAATAAGTTGGTGTAAGTATTTCTCTGTCCTTCCCTCCCCTTCCACCCTGCCTCCCTCCCTCCCTCCCTTTCCCTCTTTCACTCTCCTTCCTTCAGTCCCTCGTTCTCTCCTTCTACCCCCTCTCCCTCTCTCTCTTCCTTTCTCTCGCTGCATTTCCCCTCCATCCCCCCCCCCCACTGTCCTTCTTTCTCTCTCTCTCTCTCCTCCCCCTTCCCTCCCTCTCTCTCCTCCCTCCCTCCCACCCTCCCTCTCCTCCCTCCCTCCCTCCCTCTCCTCCCTCCCTCCCTCTCTGTCTCTCTCCCTCCCCTCCCTCCCTCCCTCTCTCTCGCTCTCCTTCCCTCCCTCCCTTCCTCTCTCCTCTCCTTACTACCTCTCCCCCTCCCTTCTCCGTCTCCCCTCTCTCTCCCTCGCTCCTTCTCTCCCCCACTGCCTCTCTCCCTCTACCCCCCCTCTACACCCCCTCTCCCCCCCTCTCACTCCTTAAACCCGCCCAGATCAAAGAATCTCGCTGAAATGCACAGATCTTGTAGGACATTTTGCCGATCTCATCGACCATGCATATGCATAACCGCGTTTGCGCACCACCCTGTGAAGTTCCTGCGTTAATCTTCTCAACCTTAATTTGCTCCTATAAGCCTACATCACGTACCACACCGTGCCGTTGCCATGCTGACTCCAAGCAATTACGTGTTGATGGTCTTAGAGCTTCTTGAGATGCCTCCCTAAGCCTTGTTCTGCCTTGGCGAGGTCATCTGCCCAGACTACGAGAGCTTCTTGTAATCTCGAAACTGTTATTTCGATGATCACAACATATTCTGGTTAGTTTAACTGATAACTTATTTTATCTGCATAATTTTTAAATGTGAAAAAAAATATTTCTAAGTGAATTTAAGAGGATAAAAAAAATTGGGCATCTTAGTTTGAATATTATCTATAAAACAATGGTGTGGAATATTTCTGTATTTTATCTTGATTTATTTCAGGTTAGAAGAAGTGCACATAAGGAGTAATGAAACTTGTTATCAGACCAGAATTTAAAGTGAAATGATCTATTATTAGGATCTGTTTTTCTGACGCTGACAACAAGGTTTTGGATTGATCAATTTACCTTATCCGTGATTAAAGCTGAAATCGATACCGTTTATGGTATCGTGACTGGAACCGAAGCTGAACACCGTTTACCTTATCCGTGATTAAAAAAGAAAACCGAACACTGTTTATCGTACCCGCTGTTAAACTGAAACTGCTACCGTTTACCATATATGTGACTAAAATCGAAAACGAACGATCGTTTTCCTTATTCGTCATTAAAACCGAAACCGAATGCCGTTTACTGCATACGAGAAATGGAAACGGCTTGTTTTAATATTACATTGCATTTAGGGTATTACACCCAAAAAAAACTAATCACCCCTATTAGTTGCACGCGAGGGCTGAGCGTGAAGGGAGAGAACAAGAGGGGGTAGAAAGGGAAAAGAAGAACAAGAAGAAGAAGAGGAAGGAGAGGAAAAATAAGTAAGAGATTTAGAAGAAGAAGAAATCACAAAAATTGTGAGAAAAATCTTGGAAAAAGGGTATCATGCCACCACCTTTCCACGAGGATCCTAAGTCATATTACTACATCCTTGGCAATCTAAAAGCATCAAAAATCAATTTCTGCTCAAATTCTTCAACTACACCTTCACCAAAGCTTCCAAAATTAGAAATCAAAGGATTGAAGCCTAGAAGTTGAATGCCAAGAATGGTGACTCATTTGAACTTTGTATTTTGAGTGTGATTTTAGCTTTGGTTGGGTCACCTAGAATCGTAAATCTAAAAGAGGGGAGTGGG